GAGAGAGAGAGAGAGAGAGAGAGAGAGAGAGAGAGAGAGAGAGAGAGAGAGAGAGAGAGAGAGAGAGAGAGAGAGAGAGTGCCCAAATCTCTGAACCTGCCAGAAGAGCATTCACACACCAGGCCACAATGGAAAATTGACTTCATCAGAACTTCAGAAGTTCCTCCTGATTTATTACCACCTCTATTTCAGGCTTTCAGCAGCGACAAATTTTCGGAACAAATCAGAGAAAAATAAAAAACACGAGAGAAAGTGAACCAGTGGAGAATGGACACAAGTGGAGAATCAACTTCCCCGTGACTGTACTACCGCCTCTATTTCAGTAACAGCAAATCATCTGAAAGAAGTAATGAAAAAAACAAAAGATATCAGAAAGTAAAACAATTCTCCTCCTCATGGTTAAAGTGATGGCATGATCCCTGCTACTGACTCCGCCAAGGCTCGATCCCTGGTCTATCTTTTTGCTGTTTCTGCTGCATCCCGTTTTCGGCCTCGCACCCTTTTTTCCAAACCCCTCCTTTGGTACCGTCGGATTTTGGACAACTGGCACCATGCTGCAATTCGGGCGCCACTTTCAAATACCGCATTTTTCAGTTCTGCTCTCGGGGGCTTTTGCGGAAATGCCCCTGGTACTGTATGTATCATCGGTACTTATACCGGCTCCCCGTACAGTACGGGGATCAGTCTCGTACCAGTTTTCAGCTGCTGTACTCGTACTCAGTGTGACTTGCTGTTTCGGCATTCGGAATCGAAGACTTCGACTTCGTGCCCTTGCCACTGTGTCTGTGTCCGACCCTCAGTCGTGTCGAGTGAGTGAGTGCGTGTGTGTGCTCTCACTCTCTCCCTCTCTCTCTCCTCTCCCTCAGCTCTCCCTCAGCCTCGCGCTCGTCACACTGGTATCGGAGCGGTTCAAACCTGCCTGACCCACCCTGCTTCGTCGTCACCACCTGGCCATCATCAGTATCATCGTCGTCGTAGTGCCACGTCATCGTCGTGATCGTCGTCGTCGCGCCATGTCATCATCGTCATCGTCATCGTCGTGCCACGTCATCATCATCACTGTCGCGATCGTCCTCCTCGTGCCACGTCCCCATTGTCGTGCCCATCGTCCTCGTCGCCGTGCCGTGCCATCTTCGTCATCGTCGTTGCTACCTCCGCGCAGATAAGTAATCGACGACAATTTTCTTCTTTTTCTTTTTTCTTTTTTTCTTTTTCCCTTCTTCTTCTTCTTTTCTTCTCCTTCTTCTTCTTCGTCGCGACTCAGATCCCGCTCCCGCGCATCCTTCCCTCCCCGACTCTCCATCTCCCCCCCCCC